TTGGGGAGCCTTAAAAGCATACTGATTTTGAACAAGCAATTTTAATTTAATTCCTTTTTTAATTAAATCACATAGCGTCCAGTTCTCATAATTTTCAGTAACTCGAACATAAAAAAATTCTTAGATTTAGGTTATTCCATAAATTAGGTAATTCCATGAATTTTGCAACTAGCTTTTTTTTTAGATTTTCAATATTTCATCGTCCGTTCAATCTCAGACATAGCAACCAATCCTAAACTCTAAGGGTTTGAATTTTAAAATTTTCTAAGTTCAGTAAAATCAGGTTTTATCAGGATTCATCAAGTTTTTATGTTACCAAAAATGTCATGATTCAGATATTTGAAGAGAAAGGAAAGTAGTAAAGCATTTATCCAGAATTTTTTTTTATTTGGTGCTTCGGAATAACTAACATTTGGAGTTATATATATATATATAAAAAAACAAGATTTAACTTTAATTCCAATCGAAAGGAATGAACTTGAAACTTCAATAATTATGTCCCGATTTACTTATTGAATATATTTGGGATATCTTTTACATTTTTAATGGAGTTTTGGTTAAAGTCATTCGGTACCAGTTTATTATTTTCGTGTACTGTATACCGGTAAGAGCATTTTCAGGCTTCAAATAAGTGCCATGAAATTAAATAGAGGTTCCCGATCAATTATGTGTTTCCCTGAAGAAAAATAATGTCCCCTTAACTTCCACAAAGCTCCTCAAACTTAAATAAATGTTCCACTTCTACGCAGTTATCAGAACTTTTCCAATTTCCTTGTTTCTACGACTTTATTTTTATATCTATGAAGTTTCCAATATTTATAATAAGTATCCTGAATTTCTACGATGTTTCTCAGAATTCCTTGAAGGTTTACGAAGTTCCCAGAAGTTAAAGAAAAATCCCTGGGCTCATTGCTAATTTGTATTACCACAAGACGTCTTATTATGCCATCGATTAAATATTGATATAATAAACTTCTCAAATCGTTTCTTCTAGTCCAGAACATAAGAAAAGTAGTCAACATAAAGAACTTGTTTGTTTGTGGTCCAATTTGATGAATCGCTGTTAAATAGTAACATCGAACTTGACAAGCTTAACAAAATACTGGTGAGTCAAAAAACACCGAAAATTCTGGGGAGGGGTGCTAGATAACTCTAGAGGGGGCTTGGCCCCCTTGGCACCCCCATTAGCTACGCCAATGAATCGAAAGCCTTTTATTGAAAACCCACGAAGAAAGAGCTGTCGCAAGACATGTTTTGGTGTTACAATGCAATTGTTCCCTGCTAAAGGTTCTCTCGGGGGCATTCCGGTGGTTCCGAGTGCGGCCTATGTGGTCAATGTTCAATTTAAAGCCTATCGAAAGCCTATTCATGAAAAAACCATTATGAAAGAGCCCAAGTAACAATTAAGGTTCTATGAGGGTTCGGTAGAGCTGTCGCACGGCATGTTTTGGTGTAAAATTGCAGTTGTCCCATGCTACAGGTTCCTCCGAGGGCATCCCGGAGGTTTCAAGAGTGGCGAATGATGCATTGAAAGTCTCTCGAAAGCCTATTGACAAAAAACCATGATGAATGAGCTGTCGCACGGCATGTTTTGAGTGATTAAAAGATCTGACTGCATTCAGAACCCTTTTTCAGATCCGATTCCAGGGAAATGGCCATATTTCGGTTGATTATAGGCCGATTTTAGTTCGTGGCTTAACATTCGGTTTGGAAATGGTTCTTCTTTCTTTGTATTTAGTAAAAAATATCAATTTTAACTGGCATTCTATCTCTGGTATCCGGTGAACATGATTATTTTCGTGGCTACACTATATTAGGTTTGCAGTTGAATGCATTTAGAAGAATTGAAATGGGGCCACACAAATAAAAATTCTTTGATGATGTAAACATCCATGCATGCAAACATTCATTACAGGAAATGTTGCTTAAAAAAATGGATAGTTGCATACCAGTGGCGTTTCCTTAACCTCAATCTACCTGTGCACAAACTCTAAAAACATAAACAATTATCAAAATATTGCTTGCAATGAATAGATATCGAGTTAACTAGAAGATTAAGTGTATTTTTCAACCGATTCGAGTATGAATACGGCATTAAATCTGGTTTTGAAAGTTGGTGCACAGGTAAAAAGTGTGGTTACGGGACGCCACTGTTGCATACAATATATGGAAAAAATCATGACATTTCTCATAAATTTACACGATCTATAATGTAAACTTATATGAATAACATAGTAACACAAATGTACACTACTTTTTTTTTAACTGTGCACATTTGACGAATTTACAACACTCCAAAGTCGACCAAAAACTACAAGGGACAGCCCTATGGGGTTTTACGCAATTGTGACGTACGACTACGTGGTCTTATATAATAAATATTATTTCTTAACTGCAGCAGGAAGTTCTGTTTTGTGTAGGAATAGGAATTTGAGCGGGGTTCTCTCTGTATATACTCTTTTGTATGAGGCGCTTGACATAGATGGTCCACAGCGACTCACGAAGAGCTACTGAATCCGATCAATAGCGGTGCGGCTTTTTTCTCCTTCTATGGATGCTCATTGGGCTGCAGCTCACTGCTTGCAGGCAGCCTTTTGTTGTGTACTGAAGAACACCACCACTCACAACGCGGTGATTGATTAAACACCGTTTGGTGAGACCTGATGGAATTCAACTTTGAAATCTGTGTTAGGGAAATCGCTTTCGCAGGCAATCGGTGATAATTTTAATTATCATAGCAACAGTTGAACATTCGTGCAATTTAGAATAGTGACGTTTTAGAAAATGATAAAATCTTTAATTTTAAAGATGCGTAGAAATATTTCTGATCGATTGGTGATAAAATTATTGAAATTAGTTCAGGGGCAGCTGAGTTATTAACGTTCAAAATCTTTCATAATTTTGTTACATGTTCCATTTTCGGTTTTCACAAAGTGTACCCCCATATATAAATCACAGACGTAGTCTTACGTCAAAATTATCCTATCCTAGTTATTTTGAGTAGCTCCTGTATATGAGCAAGTCAAACGCGACTCGTTTGCCAGTGAATTTGGGGAAATACCTTAAGTCCCCTCACCCATCATCTGAGTACGCATCTAATTAGTATTGTCGCATGAATGGCCCTTCGCTCAATTTCAGCTTCTGTTAAATTTTCACTGATAGATCATCGCACTTAGCGGCGCCAGTGGTGTAGTGGTAAGCGTAATTGCCTCTCACCCCAGCAGGCCTGGGTTCAATCCCAGTCGGCGCCGCCGGGATGTTCTGAGGAATAAAATCTCTGATCACGCCTTCCTTCGGAACGGAAGTAAAGCCGTTTATCCCCGGTTCATGAGTTGATGAGTCGATAGGTAGGGTCCAGGTGTGGAAGCTGCCTCCCTATCATCGGTAGCATTGGTGCTCAGCATAGAAAACAAGATCGACGGAAAACAAATCAAGAAAAAAAAAGATCATCGCACTTATGCTTAATGTTGATATTTGTATAGCATTTTATACCAACTCTGTAATCGTAAACTTCACGTATGAAGTAACACACACTTTGATTGAATGTATCATCTTGCCATTTTTTTAAATGGTGAAACAAATTTAAAAGCATGCATCATTTTTTGTGCTGAATGGACTTTAAAAATTCAAAAACATTTAAAAAATCCATGTCTTTACTACAATTTTAGCTAATTAGGTGCGTCATACTTCAAGACATTTCAGTATCAAGAAGGGTATTACGAAAAAATGTGTTTTACTAAAATCACTGAAACTTCATACAGATATACAACTTCATGTACATCCAGAAAAGTAACAGCTCTTTGCACTTTTTTGGAGAGAAAAAAAAAAATCTAGGTGATATATGTTTGTCCGGTACTGATATACGTCTGTCAAAATTTCACTGAAATTCATTTAACATTTACAATGCCTCCGGTAAAATGTGTAACGGCAAATTGGCAATGTTTGAAATATAATTTTTTAGCAACTTATCATGAAATTTTAAATCTCTGGATACAGAATAAATTCTTAAAATCTGAAATTTCAAGTGGCGTCAACAGATTCGAAATTCGTTGATAAATGGCTGGGCTATGATTTTTCAAACATTGCAAGTTTGCCGTTACACATTTTACCGGAAGCATCCTGTTTGGAGTGTTAATGATCCATACAGGTATGATTCATGAGACTGCGCTTTATCTTAATATAAGTTAATTCAAATGAAAACAATACAAATCATTGAGCAATAATTATCAAATTGAATCTTATACCTGAATCGATACATGTACATGTATATTTCAACAGAACAAAAAATACTTCAACACATAACGATTACCAGAAGCAAACAACTAGAAGCCGGTTCAATTTCGACTCCCTCAAACGGATCAATTAATCACCGTCGAGTATAGAATTTCAATCATACTTAATTTTCCCGAGATGCAGTCGGAAGGATCCCTCTAACCGCAGCACAGAGTTAATAACACTACAATTAATGCGCGATTTTATTAGCAGCCTCACATTTTTCCCACAGTCTCAGTCGAAGGTAGATAACACTCTTGTAACCCGTGAGGTGGCACACGCGTGACATGTTGTTGTTGTTGATTGAATTGTTTTCAAACGCGACTCGACACCGTGGGAACTGCAGGAGGAAGCTGTGATGAATATGCAGATCAGATTTATCTCGTGTTTAGGTAATTGCTCGTTGAAGCTTGAATGAAAGGTTGATGATGAGTCAGGACTGTGCGACTGGTGATGATACTATGCGAAGAACCACGCCCGTTTTCAATTTCCTGTTTATCTCGACCCGGTCAGTCAGCCACCTTCAGAGAATCGAGTGCGTATCATGCTACTCGTTGAAAACATCTTTGCCACTTGAGTGGCTGAGTCCGAAAACTCTCACGCTAATCACCGATAGAAGTTCCAGTTCGCACTCTAGTGTCCCACTCAACAAGAGCCATATCACAGCGTCACTTTACACAAAACTTCAAAAGGCAGGGAAATAGCAGGAAGGAAGTTGATCCACTTACTTATTCGACTCTTGTCCGCATAAAAGAGCCTCTTCTCGAGTTAGTTCTGTACGTCACCACAACAGTCCATCTAAGTTTTGCACTCAATTCACACTGCGTGTGTGTGTCTCTCTTCTAGGAATCTTTCTCCGACCACTCACGTCTTCATGCAAACTAAACACTAAATTTTCACTTGAATTTTTTGGCTGTCAAGTACACTTACGACACACGTACGTAAAACACGGTGAGCTTCTAGCAGGTTGTTGTTATCCCAAGATCGTCCAGTTGTGAACTGAGCGCCATAGGCGGCCGCCAAGGTGTAGATATACAGATAGCACGAAATATTCCCGCGCGTCGCGATGCTCGCACATGGAGCAGTGAGGAAAGCGCGCGCGCGACCCACTACTCATCAAGCTTAGCATGTGCGACGACGCTGATTCAATAAAGGCGATGCTGTTTTTTTCTTCTGTGTGCGTTGTTCTCGTGTTAACAGTCAAAGGGATCGATTTGAGCGGCGACACTGTTTTCTTTTTACTCGATATTTCTGGTGGAAGATGTTAATTGGATGTGTGCAGTATTTGTGCATTGTATCAACACTCGTACACTAGCACATCGTGTGACAAACGTGATTCAGTATTCGATGTGACGGACTCGAAGATTCGAAGCTATCCGGTTAGTTAAATATATCCATTTCAATTTGTTGTTGAGCAAAAAAAAATTAAAGGGAGTATATATTACTCATCTGTCATCCGGGACAACTGACTAAAAAATGAGCTTAAGTAATTATCAAAATAGAAACTTCATGACCCACTTCAAACAATCGAAGCTTAGCGACAGTTTTACCTACTTGAGTACCGTTTGTTATTATAAGCAATCCTCTCGCAAAATCCCTGAGAAGTCAAACGCCGATGTACGACCAAAGAAAGTGGAGAAGACCTTATTTATTAGAATACCATCATAAGATTCAAGAAATTCAAGGAGACACGGCAACAAGGAAACCTAACTTACTAACTAACTTAAGAAATTAAAACAGCATTAACATAATCTGGTGCGAGGATAAAAAAAACTCTTAGTTTAGGTTTTAAAAACTCCTGTAGAAAAGATTTGGAAACTGCTTTCCAGGAATGAGCATAGTTATTTAAAGGAATTAAAAGAATCCATTGTTGTTATTCACAAAATAGCTTGAAAATAATATCTAATAAATAATAAATAATAATCTCTGATGATCGAATCCTTCTGCAAACGTTCTCAAAATTATTTTGCAAAACTACAAGCATATTGACCAAACTCACAATAGGCTAAGTGTACCAGTTTGGTTGGTGCGGTTCTATTCATGGTGAAACATCCAAAGTAACAACTTAGAAGCCTTTTGAATTTGATACTGATTCATTATGGTTTTATAACGGCTACAATTAATCTGTTTAGTTTAAATACAGCATTCAATAGCATAAAACAATGTTTATTAGTAGTTCAAGTCTGGTTTTAAAAATGAATTTAATGTAGTAATCTATCCCTTCATAAAACTGTTCTCCAAATCAATCATTAACCTCCTTAGTGTTTGTTTATTGATATCACGACAAAATACTCCTTAACAGTGTTTTATCATTATAAAAGCAATTGAGCGATTCCAGACGAATTCGGAAATCCATTAGGGTTTTTGATCTAATTTCCGTCCTACTAAGCACAACCCGCGCTTTACCTCCCTTTCCTGAACGAGTTTAAACAAAAAATGTAATATTTCTGTCAAATATGACTTACAAATTTATTCACCTTTCCATACGTACCGTTGGATTTGATAAAGAGTCACCAATTGTTGAGATATTGATTAAAATCTAACACTGCTGCTTGATTCTAAATTCGTTCTACGAGTTTCAATTCCGTCCTAACGCATTGAAACGCCATTAGATTTTCTTCGTCCTACGGATAAACGTAGAAAAAGGGGATTCGCTAGGAGCGCCTCTTTTGTTTTGAGAACAATGAGCGTAAATATTCATACAATGCGGTTCTAACAGGATTTATGTTGTAGCTAATGAACTAACGCATTGGAACAAACCTATAATTGATTTGTGCACGTTGAAATCATTGATATTATTGATCTTTTCTGATCGATAGAACGGAAATGGGCGATTACGACGAAGTAGCGCTCTACCCTAATGTTGGTATTTTTTTTAAATGGTTGAAAATTTTCAGAAACGTTCATCATGACCAAAAATGCCATTTTGCTTCTTCAGATCCCCAATTTAAATCTAGCCTTAATTTTGAAAAAGGCCTGAAAAATGTTAAACATATTTTCAGAAAACTGTAGTTCGATAAATGTTTGTCCAATCGATTTGGTACCTTCGGCAAATGTTGGAATGAACATCTCGAACTATTTGAAAAAAAAAATACACTCTAAAAAAAATTGACTATTAAATTTTTTATTTTCAAGTAAACACTCAAAAATCAATTTTCCTAAACATGCATGTTTTGTTCTTATGTTTTTATTCGGTGAATGCCACCTATTGTCAAGAAGGAGAAATAATGGTCAAATAAGTTATGATTTTTGAAAAAAACCAAAGTTTTTGGAAAAAGCTCCTAAACTTGGTTTAATTATTTGTTCGGCTTCATATATTGAAAGTACACCAAATTTTCGGTAAAATAGCACTTACGTAAAATTTTGCTACGTCACACCGTTTTCGAGATGTAGCGGTTTGAAAGTAGTTTTTTTTTAATGTTCATAGTTTTTGGCCATTTTCCAATGTGTTTCGTGTTTCTCCTGTCCGACAATATTTTGACGCAGGACTACGTCTGTGATTTCTATATGAGGGTACACTTTGTGAAAACCAAAAATGGAACATGTAACAAAATTATGAACCAATTTCAATAATGTTATCACCAATCGATCAGAAATATTTCCAACAGTTGCTTTTTATCAAGAAACTATTGAAAAAGTGGTAAATATCTAGCATTGTCCAATGAACAAATAAAAAGTGATAATGTTATCACTGTTTTCATGAAATAGTCGAGTATTAGTACAAGACACTGAAGAAGTCTGCACATTGTTGACGAAATACGCGTATCTGCCAAGCATAAGCAAATAAGGTAGTGGAATTAAATGGAAATTACTTATCCTTCTCTCTCTCATTATGAAATAAACGTTCTTCCCAAACCCAGTCGTCATAATCGAGCAACCAAGTGCACATCATTCTGCTGTAACCTGAAAGGTTATAAAATAGCACTGCTGTCCAGCCTCAACTCATTTTCGCTTCGGACGGCGTGGTGAACAGGCAGCAGAAGCAGCAATAGCAGCAGTAGGAAGGTGGTGGCAGGCAAGGTTGCAAATACTCATTTCAGTTAAAATAAAGTTTTTCTGAATAATAAAACCAAAAGATGGTATGATGACATGTTTTACTTGTAACTTGTAACCTCTTCTACAAAGTATGCGTTTGAAACATAAAACCTGTAAATTTTGCTTTCTATGAGTCACAATCAGCGATTTGCCGATCGCTGAATATGTGAGTGAGTGAGTGTGTGAAAAATCGCTGATTGTGACTCTCATTAAGTGAAATAAACAGTTTTAATATGTTAAACACATTCTTTGAAACCTCTTTTTGTATCTTACTTATTCAAAATATGATCATAGCATCTAATTATTTCATAATAAAAAAAAAACATTGTTTTGGCTGAAATGAGTATTTGCAACCTTGGTGGCAAGTTAGGCAGTTCACTTTTCTACCTAACAAGCAACAATGACTGGTCGTGGCAAGGAGGAAAAGGTCTTGGTAAAGGAGGTGCCAAGCGTCATCGCAAGGTTCTTGGTGATAATATCCAGGGTATTACCAACTCGCCATCCGTCGTTTGGCTCGCCTTGGCGGTGTCAAATGTATCTCTGGTCTGATCATCTGATGATCTCATCTAGTCACATGACCAACAAAGAAACTATCCTCGTGTGAAAGTAGAACCATCCGGACGATCAGCAAAACGGTACCAACCATGCTTATAATCCTGAAAGCAACAGGGACGAGACTGTTCTGAGTGCCCATTTCTCATAGCGAAGTTGAAATATCCTTCGCTGCACCTTTTCAACGGCCGGGTCAACCCGTGTCCAGCAGTAGCCGGGCCGAGACTATTCCAAGTGCCCATTCGTCGTTGAAGTATCCTTCCCTGCATCCTTCCAACCCGTCGCAGCCGCCTAGTCAACCCGTGTCCAGCAGCAGCCACGCCGAGACTCTTCCGAGTGCCCATTCATTGTAAGAAGGTTGAAGTTTCACTCGCTGCGGTTTGCAACCTATCGCAGACACCAGTTCAACCCCTGTCCAGCAGCAGACGGGCCGAGACTCATGCCCAATCATTGAACCGAAGAATATGGAATTGTACTGTCCGATTTGCTGATCCAGTTGTCTTCTCGTCATCATCATCTTCCAAAGGCTTTAAGCTGCTATCGGCCCTTTTCAGGGTCACCAAGATTTTCCAGAAGAGTTAAATTTCTGAACATGTCTAACTAAACTAAAATTCATATCAAAAGGTTCTTTTCAGGGCAATCATAGTCATACTAAAGAGTATAAACAGAGAGAACCCTGCTCAAATTCTTATTCTTACACAAAACACAAGCTCCTGCTGCATCTAACAAATAACATTTATTATATAAGACCACGTAGTCTTACGTCACCATTGCTTACAACCCCATAGTGCTGTCCCTTGTAGTTTTTTTGACGTAGACTACGTACTAGGTACTAGGTACTGGCGGAAAATCGAAAATCTAAAATCGACCGTCATGAAAAGGTGTAAGATTTTGAACTCTTATAACTTTGTCATTAATCGACGAAATTTAAATCCAAATACATTAGTCGATAGAAAATAACGCTCACAATCTACTACAATAAATGCTTTTCCAGTTTTCTCAAAAAAAAAAAATGTCGAAAATGTATAAATAAAAGTGATGAATTAAACGTTCTCCCCTAACCAAGTCGTCATAATCGAGTACCATTTGGCTGCACATCGTTTTGTTTGAACCTGTAAAACTATATAAGAGCTTTGCTGTCGTTCCCCCGCTCATTTCAACAGCTGGAAGATCCGTATCAACGCGGCAAAGACCCAGGTCATTATCTTTCTACACTCTAAATCCCCTAGACTTGTTTCGTCGGAGAATAACAAGATCTGCCTGAACGGCACAGTGGTGGAATGGTCCAAAGAGGTTGTGTACTTCGGGCTAACACTAGACAGCAAGCTTATTTTCAGGGAGCACGTTGACAAAACAAAAACCAAGTGCAACATCTTGATAAGATCGTTGTATCCACT